TATTCTATTCTATTCTATTCTATTCTATTCTATTCTATTCTATTCTAAGTACTATAAAAAAGACAAGGAATCTAAAGACCAAGCAAGTATGTTTAGGACAAAGCCACAAGGACCATAGTGGGCACATCTAGAAAGTTGTTGATTTTCAGTATGAAAGCTTCTAGATGTTCTAAAATATTGTGCATGTTGTCATATTAAGGTTTTCTGTGTTTTTATGTATGTATCAATTTAAAGAAGCTTATTTACAGTGTTGCATGATAAGTGACCAGTGAATGCTGAATTTATTGCAGCGCTCTAATGAAGGTGGAGCCAGAAGTTCACACATTCAACGTGTTTCAGGGCCTATTTGATCACATGTAGCCTTAAAGTACAAGACTGAAGAGAGAAAAGATGCTCTTTAGAGTGCAGGTTAGTGCAATTATATATATTAGGGGTGCAACGATACTCGTATCAATATTGAACCGTTCGATACAGTGCTTTCGGTTCGGTACGCATATGTGTCGAACAATACAACTTCTTAAATTTATTTTATCAACTTTTCTTCTGACGATGCTGTGAAGAAAAAAAATAAAAATAAAAATAAATAAATAAATAAACTGTAGTCCTTCAGTTAGTCATTTTGGTTTTAACGTTTTTTAAAACAAAGCAGATCAGTTGTAAGTACTTTGCAGTTAATTCTGAATGTTTTTCTTAAAAAGGTTAAGTGACAAAGTTGTGTTGTTGTGTCATATGATGTTGTCTGGCCTTATTATTGCTCCAGCTGCAATAATACAGACTTTATCCATGGTCCTTGTCACCTCTATCTGTTTTACTACAACTTCACCTGGCGTTATTTTAGGTCCACCGGGACAGGAACGTCTAAATCAATGCTACAGCTTTTTAATGAGTTATTTAAAAATATGGAGGTTTTAAAAGATAATGAAGAAGATAGCTTTATGAAACCATAAAGAATTTGGTTGTTCTCTGAATTTTCACCTGGCAGCACCATCACAATTTGAATTTGCCCAAGATTTCTATTGGCTATTTTGTTTTAGTAACAATTAACGAAATTTATCATTCTAACATGTTAAACTCAAACAGTAAACATGCCAAACATTATGGCAGCATTGCCGTTCAGTTTTTAGGGTTGCGCTGGCTGCGGCTGAGGTGACAGGATGGGTTATCTACAGTTTGAAGGTTGGTGGTTTGATCCCCGGTTGCTCCAGTCTGTACGCCAAAGTACCCTTGAGCAAGATACTGAACCCTGAGTTGTTCCTGATGCGTCCATCAGTGTGTGAACAACATTAGAAAGAAAGCACTTACACAAAGGAAAAAGGTGCTTGTATGAATCTGTGTGTGAATGTTATGTTGTATAAAGCATTTTGAGTGCTCAGGTAGAAAAGTGGTATATTATTTAAATGCTTACCACACTGTCAGCAATGCTTGCAGCGCTGTGTTAGTATTACAGACTTATTTTAAACATTTCAAATGACAGATAATCCATTGTTGTGTTTGCTGACTCCAAAAACCAGTTAATTTATATTTAAAGAGACCTTATAGTTAAATAAATAATTACACAAACATGGCTTCTTTTCACATCTAAAGAGAAATGAGATTAAATAATGTTAAAAATTTAGGAATCTGTCAGCTGATTTCTGTATCTTAGAGGAGCTCGGACTTGAGACTCGACTCTGCTGGGTCCTGTCCCAACAGATGTAATGGGTCACACAGATTCACAGCCAGGTCAGCAAACTTATATCTATGCAAGACAAGTGATTCCAAGTATTTGAGTCTAGTTTGCCCAGTGTTTTATCCATTTAGCATGGCGCTGACTTTGTGGGCCACTGTGTCTGCCTCTAATCTCTGGTCTGATCTGGTTCTTTCCAGGTAATCCTCCATCCAAACCCAACAAAAAGACCTTAAAGCAGCGCTTCCTCAAACTGCTGCCCTGCTGTCGTTCTGGCTCCAGCTCTTCAGTTGATCAAAGCAAGTGTTAGGACACGCACTTTGTCACACCACATCAATTAAATTAAACACAAACAAAACATTGATTTTTACTCTTTTAGTCTCTTTGCCTTTTCCTCTTTAAAGTTTCCGTCATTTCAGGGACACTCAAAGAGAAACTGTTTTCCTTTCTGTCTTCATTCCTCCGATGCAGGCAGCATAGTTGAAGATGGTGAACTATCGACAGTGTGTTACAGACCTGAGGGACTTGACCGTCTTGTACAGCAGACCAAATTCAGCAAAAAAGAGCTGCAGGTCCTCTACCGGGGATTCAAAAATGTCAGTCAACGTTTGCTGGAAGTCATTGATCATTCCTCTTGCAATGAATGCGCAATACTTGAAAACCATCAATTATGATGCGGCTCTACTGTGCTATTTATGTGCATAGGAAAGTATGTGTGGAGGGTTTTTTTGGTCCACATAATAATTTTATGATTTCCACAGGAGTGTCCGAGTGGTGTGGTGAATGAGGAGACTTTTAAAAGCATATACTCCAAGTTCTTCCCTCAGGGAGGTCAGTCACACTCACTTCCTTTTATCCCATGTTTTACATTTTATTCGATTTTTTCTAAGGAGCTAGGTAGGAGGAAATGTTCTGTCTCATGTGTCTTCAATGTGTTCACTGAGGATTGAACTGGTTAGGTGTGTTCAATTCAAATATGTAGTCAAATTATAATACTTTCAGCTTTGCTTTACTATGACAGTGACAAATAACATACACATTTGTGGTTATAAACACTTCTTTCATCTTTAAAAGCAGGGTTACATTATACTGTGCAATACTGTGCAAAAGTTTTGAACCACCTCTCATATTTTGCTTCCAAGGCACCAGACTATTAATGTTTTTTTAAGCGGTCAAGCTTTTGCCACGGTCTGCAATGGGAGACCGTGGGGATGAGGGGAGGGAGGACCCAAACGCAGGACTCTTGTTCGATGAATGTAGTGCGTTTATTTACAGTGATGTAAATATTACATAATAAATCCCCGTGTGCGCCCCTGACTCCCATGCCACGTCTTCTTCCCAAATCCGTGCTCTGTGTTCTCCGCTCCCATGTGTCCGCACAACCCGTCCTCACTGCCCTCTCGTCTTCCACGCTCCTCCTGGGGGGAAATAACAGAGGCAGCTGTCAGGACACTTAACTACAGCACTACAAATTTAATACACTCACTAAACTTGGCTCACTAGGAAAACTGACATGGAGTTTCACGCAACAGAGCGCAATCACACTCTTAAATAGCTCCCCCGACGAGGCTGATCAGCTGCAGGTGCGTGGCATGATCTTCAAGTGTGGCCAGCCACCTGGCAGGGCCACACCCACCAGGCCTGAAGGTGCCTGTCACCTGGCCTATCGGACCAGCACCCACACGCACACACACACACCGGCCTCTACATACAAGCATGGAAACACAGGAACTGCAGCATAGTGCAGCAAAAACCCATATAATGAGTCCACACTGCCCCTCAGATCCAGGTCCCTGACAGTCTTCAGCAATAGTTCTCCAGGTTTTTTGAAGGTCTTTCAAAGCTTTTCTTTGGCCATTAGCTGCTTTTTCATTCATTTTCAGTCCTGAGCATTTACAGAGGAAAGCTACTTAACATTGACCTATGAACAATTTTTTGTTAAAACCATGAAGAATGGCTGACTGGAAATGACTGGTTTAAAAAATCTACAGCACATGAACACTTTCTGAAAATCAAGCAAAGACCTGAAACAGTACCTGAGAGATGCATCTGGCCCTTCTGCTGATCGTTATACTGTTCAAAGCTTCATCAGAAATGGTCTCAGTGAAAGGGTGCCTGTGAAGAAGCCATTCTTAAGGAAGTGATACAGGGAAAAAAGGCTGAGGTAGTCCAAATTACACAAGAACTGGACTAAAATGTGAAAATTTGGGTTCAGAATGTAGTAAGTATGTACAGAAGAGGACAGGAGAGAGGTACAACAGTGATTGTCTAAAGCTCTCTGTAAAACACTGGAGGCTCTGTCATAGTTTGGGGCTGCATTTCAGTCAGTGTTATTGAGGATCTTGTCAAAATTTATGGAATTCTGAATTATTTTGATCCATCATCTGGAAAGCATCTGCTTGGCAACGGCTTCATTCTTCACAATGACAATGATCCCAAACACACCGCCAGTGCTGTGAAAGCTTACCTGAATAGAAAAACAGACAATGGAACACAATCAGTCATTGATTGACCTCCCCAGAGCCCGGACCACGGCATTGCTGAAGCAGTGTGGGATCGTCATGACAGAGAACAGAACAAAAGGCAGCCAACATCCAAAGAAGAGGTTTAAAAGTCCTTCAAAAAGCCTGGGGAACTATTTCTGAAGACTAATGCAATTACAGAAAAGCTTGCCTGAGAGAGTTCAGGCTGAGTTGAAGGTCATACCAAACACTGACTTTCCGTTAGAATTGCAAAAACTCTGTTTTTGTCTCATACACTGTACTTCCAGGTATGTTTGCACATGTTTTTAAAAAACTTGCTACATCTATTTCCCATTTTCCCAGCCAAATATATACGATGGGTAGCTCAAGACTTTTGCACAGTGCTTGTATACTTGTTAATTGTGTTTATCTGGGTTTAACTGAATCTGCAGTCATATATTGATACATTTAAAATCAGACTTTTTGTGTAACTGTGCTTGATATAATTTGTGCATAGATAAAATGCGTTTGCATGTTTTTGCATGTTTACAAAGTGTGCTATACAACCCACAACTGAGCAGCACAGTTCAAAACACTATTACCTCTTAACTGATGCACATTTAATTACCTGTCCACATCTTTAATGTCTCTAATATTTTTCTGTTCCTGTCAGTTTAGGCTGTCATTACACAAAACCGTTGACGTGACTGCTGCACAGTTACAGTAACTTTCTTATATTCTCTTTTGCAGATTCAAGTATGTATGCGCATTTCTTGTTTGAAGCCTTTGACACGCAGAACAATGGCTCGGTCAGCTTTGAGGTGAGATACACACCTCAAAGCCTCCTTTCATTCCCTGCAGCTCACAGAGATGTTTTCCCTTTTCCTTTTTCGTCTTCTTTACTGTCCTTTTCTTTATCTATGCTGTGCAGTTTGATTATACTTTTTCTTAGAGTTCGGAAGAAAGCAGCATAAAGCTTTGCTCTTGGTGCACATCTTGTATAAATCTCATTACTTTTTAAAATGATTTCACTCTGTTGGGTGTCAGTAACACACGGTTGGAACTGAAAAAACATAAAACATAGTATCAATGCAGCAAATACTGCAAAGTTTTGTCTGTGACTTTTTCGTCTTTATTGTGGTCTTTACTTTTTATTCTCTCTCACTCAGTGCCTGTTTTCTTTCCCTGCTGTAGGACTTTGTTATAAGTCTGTCCATCATCCTGAGAGGCTCCATCACTGATAAACTCAACTGGGCCTTTAATCTGTATGATATCAACAAGGACGGCTGCATCACCAGAGAGGTAAACCAACCAATCACTGCCTGTTTTTTTTTTCTTTTTCTTACTTTGGCAGCTCATGTCTTTTTCATTTTTTTTTTCCTTCTGTCTGTTCTTCCAGGAGATGACAGAAATAATGCACTCCATCTATGACATGATGGGGAAGTATACATACCCCCACATGAAAGATAGTGCCCCGAAAGAGCATGTTGACAGCTTCTTTCAGGTAAAACTCACAAATAATCAGATCACACATCACACATCTCCAACACTGAACTCAAAGTGAGTCAGAATGTACTAAAAGTGATGGGTAAAGCATTTACTTTATCTACTGTGTCACTGTTGTGCCCATTAGTGTAAATGTGGAGCTGTGGGTTAAACAGCCAGCTTCGTCAGAGAGTGGATATCTATGAATTTGAATATTTTGCTTTTGCTCTGCTTCATACACACAAAAATAACCCAACTTAAAGACATGTTTTATTTCTAAATTGGGCTTTTAAATGATGAATAATCGTCCAAAAGGCAAAAAAATCTGAAGCTAAACAGTATAGCTCAGAAAACAGATCCCTATGGAACAACACATCTCGAGGCAGCCGTTTCTGGGTTTAAACCGATGATAGTAACAGAAAAACTTTTGTCTATGAGGCAGCATTTACCCAGTCTAATGCTGATCCAGACACACCCACTGACTGATGAGACTTATTCAATAAGACTGTGTGATCCTCATTTTCAAAAGCTTAACTCAGATCTAATAAAACCAGAACTATTTTCAATAGATTGCTGTATATCTTACCAAGTTACAGCCCGCTCTCGATTACTGGGAAGACTGTTGCATGGTGTCACCTGCCTGCATGTGAGTGAAGGCGTATCTTCATGCCTGTGCACAACATAAATAAGCAGGAATCCATCCATCCTTTCCAGCAATTTGGTAGTGGTGATTAAACTAGAACATGTTCCATGGACTTCCACTGAAAATGGGTGGTTGGCAGTGCCAGAAAGCTGCAAAAAAACCCAACAAAAAACCCTGACGTCAATGATTATGGGAGGACCTGCTGAAAGGAATTCAGTGATGATGCATAGTGGCAGCCCAGTGCTAATTTACTTCCCCTGGAAATTTCCCCAGCTTCCATTACTGTTTCTGAGTCCCTTTGAAATGTGGACTGGTTTTTCAAAGGCAACGAGGTAGAATGGACTTCACACCAACTGAGAAAGCCTGAGCTATGATGTTTGGGCTACTTAAGGTACCCCCTAGAGTTACTATAGAACATAGATCTTTTTAGGCCAATCCCTGTTTTTTGTGTCACCTGGTAAAAGGATTTTTGTCCTGCAAGATTGGAGCATTTCCAGAAATGTCTAGTTGGCTCACAAATACAAATGTAAACAATGCAGGTTTTAAAGGATTTTGCAAATATGTGAAAGAACTTTTAGCACCTGGTAAAACTAAACTTGGAGAATGAGGTCAATACATTTTAAACTTTCATAGTTAATGTTACTATTTGTGTTTGCCATATTGCTATATTTATTCGGTTAAAGATAATGGGGTTGGCTGTTATTAATTATGTCACAGAACTTTCCATTATTTTTTTTTTAGCACAAATGGGTCAGAGCTAGTAAAAACTGTGAAAAGTTGTAACACAGGTAGATTTTATAATTACAAATGTCACATCTGCACATCCCTTCATTTATGACTGGGGTCATGAATGAAGTCATTTAGTTACTTAAAAGTTAAATCATCATCTGTAACTTGTTGCATTTTTCCAGAAAATGGACAAGAACAACGATGGAGTGGTCACGATGGATGAGTTCTTGGAGACGTGTCAGAAGGTTAATAATAATATCTGTTTCAAACAGCAGTGCAGCTACACATCCACAGCTGCTAAAAATAAAGAATTCTTCCCTTTTTTCTTTTTCAGGATGGGAACATCATGCAGTCCATGCACATGTTTGATAATGTGATCTAAGCATTGGTGGACATAGACAGAAAACAGATTTCCCACCTGTTTGGAGCTCTCGGCTCAAATGCAGCTCATCGCCAGCGTGGATGAATTTTCTGAGCTTCAACAGCGGTCCAAGGTTCAAGTAGCAGTGACCTAAAGATACCGACCCCAAACACACATTTTCTAAAATACTTTTAATGAATAGACTGGGCAGAATGAGTCAAGTGTTGATGCAAAATTACTTGACTTGTGGGAAATGTGAGATTTTATTTTTTATACTACACATACGAATGAAAGCGTTAAAGGTACGCCATGTTGCAGTCTGACGAAAACAAGAAGCGCTAATGAACAGTTTCCTCAAGAAAGCAGCAGATATGCACAACAAGCAGCTGCGATTTTAACATTTGATGACGTTCTTTCTAAATTATGACTATTACAATATTTCTCTATTGCATGTGTTTACACAGTAAAGTGAGACAGAGGCACCGGATATACAGACGTGGAACAAATGGAATAACTCTTAAATGTTGTAAAGTATCACACTCTCTCTAATCACTCTTGTCCTGTAACAGAGGATAAGAAGTTTGAAATCAAAGCAATAATAATATTATCAGTCCTTATCTGTTCTCTGTGTTCTTATGGAGCTCACCACTCACATTTACTATAATTGTGCATATTGTGTGCATGATGTATCTGTTTTCATTGAATAGTTTAATGAAAGTGTTAATATATTTTCTATATGGGCATAGTAACGATGGTGAGGAGGAAACTAAAAATCACACAGTTGCTATGCAAAAGCAAAAATCATTAAATTACTGAAATATGGTTGATGGGTCTGGCTCGGATTACTTGTTTTTTTTTTTTTAAAAAGTGCTGAAACAGTGCTTAAGAGGGTGTCATCTGTCCAGATTATGATGTGCATTACATTCATGCAACAAAATGTAATGAGAGCCGAGCTTTTAAGAAGTTCCTGGCACGACTTCATCTGCAAACAAGGTGCAAGGAGCAAGTTCAGCAACACTTCATTTATATTTTATTTGTAATGTGTTTCAACTTGTTGCTTTTTTTCAGGGTGATCATAAAAACATATGACAAACAATATGTACACAGTTCATTGCTCAAATACGGTCTTGTCTGGGTTGTCTGATCGCATATCCAGCCAATCATAGGTGCCGCCTATACAGTTTGTGGCTGTGTTGGTGGCTTTGTAATTTTCTATGCCACACCTGTCCTAAAACAGTGCTCTGATGAAGTCTACAAGTTGAATCAGTTGAGCAATAAAGTCTTTCTATAAACTAGGCATTGCACAAGTTTACAGTTTTAAAGTCTATCAGCAGAATGTAGTTTTATTTACCCCCCCCCCCCAAAAAAAACAAACAAACAAACAAAAAACTCTTGGGCTTATCCAAATGAGTAGAAACCAGTCAATACGTCCACAGATTCTGTTTTCACTTCCTCTCCACCGATGTTCCAGTCGTCTCTTACTTGAACACCTTCAGCACTAATTTGGCTCCGAGAGGATCTTTAAAACTTCAACAGCAGGAAATGTTTCTTTTACCTCATAAATTGGAAACACAATTAAATGACTTTTTTGTAGAGAAATGTCTATTTTCAAACTGAAAGCAGTGTATCCAATGAAACCATTTTTTGCCTTTGAATCAGACTACTAATGACAAGAGTAATAAAGAACCTGCTTTAAAAAAAACAACAAAAAGAAAATAGCAGGTGTATAATCAGAAGTTGTTCAACTGAGTGTTGCCTAAACAGTCGATATAAACCCAGCAGACAACTATTAGATGTACCATGCTCGTACTGGGTTGGACCCAAATGATAAGCGTAAGAAAATGTACAGAAAACAAAACATTTCTGATTTATAACTCAATAAACATGAACACAAGAACATTTTGAATATATATCCTTTATTTTTATTAAACAAAATTTAAGTAAAAACTCTTAATAAGTAGAAAGACAAATTTCCCTGTCAGTAGTTTTTTCTTTCAACCACAGCTGTATTATCTCATGTGTTTACTACGGAGTTGGACAAATCTGTTGCACAAGTATGTAAATTAGTTTTTTTTTCCCAGTGGCTACATATGATTTCCTCTCTAAATTCATTTTAAAATCAAAGGCATCTCTTTCCTTATTTTCTGGTAAGTATGCATAATGTGAAACTTTCCCAGTAAATAACTTATAAAAGTTGAAGATGACTCTTGAAAACAAACAAACGAATAAAGCAACCGTACTGATCAACTACAGTCCAAATAAAACGCATCAGATGATTACAGAAGAGAAGGGAGCAGCCGTACAGTGTTAGCTCGAGTATCTCCGCTTCTCCCCATTTGCTCACGTCTACTAAATTTTGCGACACATGAAAGGAGCGTTAACCACCTCTTCGCTGACTCTTGGGCCACGGTGTGAGAAAACTGACAGTATATAGAGCCAAAACTACAGCAAAGTCGGAAATGTGTCTTACAAAGGCGTTAAGCGGAGTTGGTGAGTTGGTGCACTGTGCACGCTGAGCCACCTCTGGCAGTGTTTTCAACTATTATTCTCTTTTTCTTTCTTTTCTTAAAAAAAGAAAAAGCTACGATTATCATCACAAAATGAAATCTCTTTGGCATAGAATACCCACCCAAAAGCGTAAACAACCACGCACACTCATGCACTCACTCTTAGAAGGTTCTTAAAAAAAAAACAAAAACAAACTACAAGCATCAATGTCAAAATTATAATCTGCAAAATTATGCTATAAAACAAAGTTGAGCCCTGTTAAGATTATGAGTCCCATACTCGGCAATAATTGTATATATTACATCAGGTGGCGAGCAGAGGGAAAGACCTTTCGTGATGACCACGTTCTACTCTTCTGTGTCCCGTTACATCCTAAATCAGCTCTTTGCTGCCTCCTCCTCGTCTGCTTCTTTCCCCTGAAAGAATAAAATTTAAAAAAAGAAAGTTATTATTTCACAAAAATAAAAATGTGTTTTTATCTTTTTTCTTGCTCTGAAACGAGCAGGACTTTATTTGAAAAAGGGTGATAACATTTTGCTGTTAAAGCATTTCAGAGGTACAGGCTGCAGTGCTTTTAAAGTGCATTAGTACACTACATTAAAACCACTGATAAGTGAAGTCAATGGCATTGATCATCTCTTTATAATTTAATGTTCTGCTGGGAAACGCTAGGTCA